AAATTCACTACATCAAAAACATATTTAACAAAATCATCAAAGATTTCAAAAACCATCATATCCAACCATATTTGTCTGATGCGAAATATATCAAAAACTCCACCTATAAAGCACAACTTAGAATTAATGCACCGGCAAACTCATGTCCACAAACAAGCATGACTACACCTCTAGCTACCTACAATAATAATAAAAAAAAATTAAAAAAAATATGAAGAAAACGTTGTTAATAATAATATTTTTGCTTACATTTCTATTTAATTTTATAAAATCCTGTGGATCTAATTCCACTCCCAAACTAGCAATTACACAGCGTCTTGCAAGAAAGTTGAAGAAAAAACCTCATACAAATCTCAGCTACATCATATAAAAGGATAAATTAATAAATTGACATACAAAAATATTGTTTACAAGGGAGTGTATGGTTTCCTTTGTGAAGAAAATATTGTTTACAAGGGAGTGTATGGTTTCCTTTGTGAAGAAAATATTGTTTACAAGGGAGTGTATGGTTACCGTGGCAGGTGGTGGTGGCAGCGGCGGCGACGACGGCCGGTGGCAGAGGACTACTATAGTGACATCTCTCTTACATTATACAAATTATTTATTTTGATGGTATTAATAATTTTCTATAAATAAAAAAAAATTGTAAATATAGTCAAATTTTAATAATTTAATAATGTAGCTGCAAAAGAAAAAAAAATTAAAATTTATTTACAACTCGGGTTTGGGCAGACAACCTCGGGTTACAATTCGGGTTTGGGCGGGCTTGGACAGGTCTCAGTACAACTTGGGATAGGCTTGGATAACCTTCCAACCCGACCGAACCCACTCGAGTTGCACCTCTATCCTAAATACAAGGAGAAAATCAAGGACTAAATTGATACAAGGCATAATTATTGATATAATTTGCCCATAATTTTTTTAGCTGGACTCCAGAAACTAGATTCAAATGAAATTGAACAATGGAATTAACAAATAACCACTTATATTTCAACTTTGCTTAAGTATCTAATATAAACAATAAAATATTAATTCTTGCGCAAAAACCAATCCCAATACAGTCTTTGCTTCACAAAGAATATGGCATTAGTTATCAAGATTTATTCCTTTGATGAGAAATAAAAAAGAAATACTTGGAATTTAAAATGAAAAATTATATCAGCCATCAAAATTCATTCATTTTGTTAAGGAGGTATATCAAAAATTCAAGTAGTTAAAATGAAGTAGCTATTTTTCAAGTAACAAAAAAGATGTGAACCAACGAACCATTAAGTCAATCAAACCCTTTTCAAGCATCTCTAATATGCAAGGATTATGAAAAAAGTGCAATCATATATGTAAAACAGGGAGGTTATTACATGCATCCCTAAAAACGGTATATATGGTATCTTTTTTGTAATTTTTTCACAAAACTTTACTACAAAAATTTTAATATGTCATAACTTTTCTTACCACAAAATGTGATAATAAAAATCACATGCTATCATAATTTTATCATTAGTAACTTTAGGATATATACCATAAATTTACTATTCGTAATTTTATCACAAAGTGACATAACATACCTCAAATATTCATAATTTTTCACAACTAAAAATCATAACTTTTTTACAATTTGCACCTTTTTAATAGTGCATATTGTACCCTATCTAAAAAAAAAATACTGCATATTGTAGATTTCTTCTTTTTTCAAACATAGTTTCCAAAATTAGGTTGTTTTGAACTTATTTCCTAAACCCGTGGTAATTTGTAAATAAATGTTTTCAAAACAAAATTTCAAGCTTAAAGTCCTATTTTAAAATCATTATCGTGTATCCAAAACCCCAATTTATTAAAATTGTAGGATCGTGTACATGATTTCATCAAATTTGATTTGGTTAAAAAAATCGATAATAAATAATCAATCTTTATCTTTGATAAGAATTGAAAGTGGCTAGCTAAAGTAACCTAATTGATTTCTCACCTTTTATTTAATAAATGACAAATTTTCTCATTTAATAATTTAAGCAAGATTTAATGCAAGCATCTACTTAATTAAGAACATAGTGACAGACCATACACAACTGTACCTCCCAATTTTATAATGCGTGCAAGTCACCTTCCTTACCTTACCCACAAAGACTCTACTAACCTTCCTTCCCCACAAATACTTTACTATATATAATCTTCTATAACACTACTTTCTTATACTGAATTTCTCTACCTGTTTGGTGAACCCTAGACAATTAACTGAATTGTTTATATTAGTTAAAAATTAGTCATTGGGTTAGAGGTCTTTTTTATTCATCTACTTTGCGGCTAGTGTTGGGTGGTAAAAAAAAAAAAAACTGAAAACTCAAAAAGGAAACACATTTTTTGTGTTTTCACTTTTTGGCCAAATTTATAAACTGAGACTATTGATTTATAAATTAAAAATTTTACCAAACAAGTTTTTATTTGAGTTTTTTAAATTTTTCTAAATATAAACAGAAAACTGAAAACGTAAGTGTTACCAAACAGCACCATAGTGATTCAAAATTTCTTATAGTTACTAGTGAGAGGGCCGCTTGCAAGGCAAGCTAACTAATGCCTAGCTAGTGTCCATTACATTTGTGTTTTGAATTGAAATTTATAAACATATCTAGTAGAAAATTATATGGAGAGAAAAACATTACGTACATATAAACCAACTTAGAATTGAGCTCTGTTTAGTGGAAAACAATTACAAGAGAATTTGTCACTAAATTTCAATATATCGCAAGAGATAAATATAATCAGTAATACTCAAAAATAAGTGTAACAAAATAACCAAGGCCATTTTTCACTCTGAGCATAAGATGATCCTCCTAGAAAGAACAAAGACTACAAACTTTTTGACAGTTAGCTCATGCTCAAAAGTAGAGATAAACTAGTAGTTCTAAAAATATTTTTATTTCAAAAATATTAAAATAAAATGAATTGAAATCTAGCTGTGCTTCCTTCTGTTTTATAGTACGGTATCACCTTACATAATAATGTGTGGACTTTGTTAATTTCAATTCAGAAATAATATTCACCTTCTTTATGTTGTTTCTTTTCTTTTTGAGTATCAACATAAAAAATTTTCTTGGCTTCTTTTTCTTAAAAGGGTGTGTGCTTGCGTGTAATCCTTTGTCGTGTAAATACAGACAAACTTACAAATTTTAAATTTTCATAATGACTATTTTATTTCTAACAATAACTGACATTAGAGTAGAAACCCTCTTAAGAAAAAGAAGCCAACATAATTTCACCATTTATTGTTTTTTTCTAAAGGAACGAAGCAGATCGCATTAATCAAAGAATCACAAGAAACAAATAATGAAAATCTGTATCACTAAGTAAGACGTACATGAAACTAAACAAAGAAAAATAGAGAAAAGAGAGAGAGAGAGGGAGCAACCTGTAGCTTTATGGCCACGTCGTGTTTCGAGAATTGGTTTTGCTCTGGTACTGGCTTTCATTTGAATAATTGGAAAAATTGAAATCATTCTTGCATAAAACTCTGAACCAACACCAAATTCTTCTTCTCCTTTTGGGTGTTCGAAACATTGACATATTAATAAAAACACTCTTCTTTCTTCAAAATCATTCATGAAGACCTATGAGGAAAAATAGAAAAAAAAAAAAATCATAATAACGATGAGTAAAAAATGAGACAATATTTGCCAATGTTAATTCCTTTTGCATAAAATCCATACTTGGCTAAAAAATGTAGCACCAACAATATATATTAACTTGTCAAACAATCATTCATTTATAAAATGTTTTACAACAAAGCATAAAGAATTAATACAATCAGATACAGATAATAACACGTAAAGACAGTAGCAACAGAAAAATGTAGCAGTAGAAAAATTTATTACAATTATACAATGACAAAAAATGTAGCAGTAGAAAAATTTATATGGAAATATCCAACTGATGCCATTTGTTGATTACTACAGTCTACTCACTTTGGGTTGGCTTGGGATGTGGTTTGATTTTTTGACTATTTTAGTCTGAGGTTAAAAAGTCTCGTTTGGGATGAGTTTTTTTTGGCTATTTTGACTTTCATGAGAGAAAAAATGTAATGATTATAGATTGAATGTGACGTTTTGTCTTATTAAACTAAAAAACCTATTTTTGTTTTTTTAAACTAAAATAGCCAAAAAGTCCCAAAAAAGTTTATGCCAAACGAGCTCTTTAAAGAGAGTCGCAATTTGCAAAAATGTAGCAGTAGAAAAATTTATATGGAAATATCCAACTGATGCCATTTGTTGATTACTACAGTCTACTCACTTTGGGTTGGCTTGGGATGTGGTTTGATTTTTTGACTATTTTAGTCTGAGGTTAAAAAGTCTCGTTTGAGATGAATTTTTTTTGGCTATTTTGACTTTCGTGAGAGAAAAAATATAATGATTATAGGTTGGATGTGACGTTTTGTCTTATTAAACTAAAAAACCTATTTTGTTTTTTTAAACTAAAATAGCCAAAAAGTCCCAAAAAAGTTTATGCCAAACGAGCTCTTTAAAGAGAGTCACAATTTGCATTCTAGGGGTAGGTAGATGATTGTTTGGTGAGCAGAAAGAGCTTGCTGCTGTAGTTTAATTATTTGATTATTGATACAAGCATAATTGTGGTCACACTCACCAAAGTATTACTAAATTGATATTGTCATTAATCTTCACAGTTCTCAATCTTTAGCATTGCATATAAACATAGTTTTGGATTTGGTAGCACCATAAAACAGGGGACTTATTAGAGGGGACAGAAAACTTAACTCGTTTTGCTTTTTTACTTTCTCTTTCTTTCCATTTTTTCCTCTTTATCTATTCTTTTCAAGAATGTGTAGCTAGTCAAAACATGGTTTATTCATGGAACCAAAGCGTGGTCTATTCTTTGGCCTTTTTTTTTTTTCCCTTACTTTTTTAAATATATATATATATATATATTTCCAATGAATCTTCAGTTTTTCTCACAATTCTTTTATTTGAGGCTCACCTATTAATAATTTATCCTTTAAATTTGCAGACCCAAAGGTTTCTAATGGCCTCTTGTACAGTCTTATATCATTTGAATCATCACCCCATATTGACAAAGACAACAAATGGTATATCAGTGTTGAGGTATCAATCTAACTAGATTTCAGTTTTATGTAGGACGATATTAGCCTCGTTATATTGTTTATTTAATTTGATAAGTGATCTCTTGGCAGGAATGGCCACATGAGTCATACCCACCATGGGCCCATGGTCCAGGTTATATAATTTCCAAAGGTATTGCAAAATTCATTGTCCAAGGTCACCAACAAAGAGAACTCCAGGTGTTATTTATCTACACTTGCTTATGAAAGGCAAACCAACTCTTGTTTATGCTTCGTCTGTTGCGTTAATATTAGCAACTCATGGATTTTTGTGCCAGAAGTAAAAATTAAAAAAATGTTAGTACAGAGAGCTTATCTTATAATTCAAGTGATTAAGAATGAATAAAAACACAAACAGTAATGTTATGTCACTAAGGCAACAACCCAACCAAAATTCCATAACTTTTTTCTTCCATATCTTCTAGTATCAACTTTAGTTTTTTACCTAACAAGCTCGAGTTAGCTTTTTGAAAGTGAACACTGAATACCGGATAGATGTTACAAAAGCATGAAAATAAAAAAATAAAATAAAGAACACAAATAAATAAATTCAGGAAACCAAACAAGAAAAAATAACAAATTCAGAACAAATTGAAAAGCATCCAAGTTAAACATTCAGAACAAGCATCCAAGTTAAACACTAAACCCCAAATTGAAAAGTCCCAAAATTTGAAATTGAAAACCCTAAACCCTAATTTCCAAATTGAAAAGCTTCAAATCAAAACTCAAAACCCTAGTATCTGAACATGCACTTGAAATTGGGCGGTGGGAGGGAGAGGTGCAAGAGCTCCGGATGGAGGAAAAGGTGAGACGGCTCTGTTTGCTTCGTTCATGGGACTTCGTCGATTGGAGGAAGAAGTGAAGATGAACGGGGCTACGAAGTAGATAACTCTGAAGGACTGCTCGAGCGACGCAATGGCTGTCACGAGCGAAGCAATGGTTGTTGCTCCGAAGGACTGCTCTTCCCTCCGTCTCTATTTCTTCTTCGTCGTCGTCTCTCTCTCTCTCTCTCTCTTGAACACATCTCCCTCCAGCTAGTTTTTCTCTATTTTGCCCTTTTCTTGTTTTTTTTTTTGTTTTGGGACCTGGGATTAGAAATTTAGGCAAAAATTTTAGGAGGGAATTTTAATTTAGGCTAAATTTTGGAAGGTTTGTTTTAAATATTAAGAAGAAATTTGAATTTGGGACAAAATTTTGTAGTAAAAATTGGTTTTAATTTATACTTTTTTTAAGTTTTATTATTTATATTTGTAATTTTACCTTTATTAAAGTTTAATTAATATTTTGAATGAAAAAACAATTTATTTTTTTTGTGATTTTAATCAAAAAATAATAATTCTATTAAAAAATAATTACTATTATGTTCTTAATAATTTATTATTTAATTATTAATAATTTTTTTAGAACGGATTATTAATAGTTATTTCAAATAGTAACAAAATTAATTAATATTGGAAAACATTCAAAACTATATAGTTTTGATACAAAATATGACATTTTCCTTTCTGTGACCACAATTTATTGGTCACCAACGGTTTTGATTGATATTCTGTTTTTTTTTTCCCTTCTCCTGCCATTACTTTACGCGACCATATTCTTTTTTTTTTGTCGCAAAAAAATTACTTATTAGCTACCAAAATGTCATTGGTCGCAAAAACATAACTCATTAGCAATCAAAAAAATGTTAGTCACAAAAAGTCAATTATCTACGACCAATTCAAAAAATGTAGTCGCCAAAAGTGTTTTTTCTTGTAGTGTTTATCGGAATGTATAGTTACTGTTATTTGACCAACTTAGGCCTCGTTTGGGAACATAGTTTTTTTAGTAACTTTCGATTTTTTGTCTAAAATATAATGTAAAAAAAATAATATGTTTGAAATGACTTTTAAATTTTTGTAAAAATATATACAAAAAGTAGAGAGAAAAAGTAATATTTGAATTTTTGATATAGATTATTAGTTTTTTTATTTTTTTAATAATTATTTAGATAAATGATTTACCCAACGATTTTTTTAATAATTATTTAGATAAATGATTTACCCAACGATTTTTAAAACGGGAACAACCCAAATTATTAAAGTTGTACCCAAAAATGGGACCAGCTTGACGGTCTAATCTAAATTTGTAAACTGGTAAGGAGCCTATCACTTCTGTTTTTTTTTTTTTTTTAGATGGGAAAAGCCTGGAGGCAAATTACAAAGTCAGACATATTTGAAGAACCTCTTCAATTACGAGCCTATTACTTAAAACAAAACAACTATGCACATGCCTATAACTACTATATCATTCTTATGATATTTTATATATATTTTTCCTTGATAAAAAGCAACCATATAAACAAGCTCCATATATATAACACAAGCCACATTAGTAGTTACATAACTATAGACAATAGTTAAAATCTATCAAAGAGCAAAAACAAACTCAATGAAGATACTTGTTATGAATGGTTAGCCAACACCACCCCACCATACCACAAGAAAAACCATAATCTTGATAACTAATCAGCATTGGTAGTCACTTACATCATCAAACTCATTGGCCTGATCATCATTGGCATGAGCATTACCACCATAATTGACTTGGTTTTGCAGTGTCTGTGGCTCACTTTACTTGTATAATAACTCTGCCCCCAGTTAACTTCAACTTGGGCATCCAACACTACATGTGTGGTGGTGGTGGTGGCTGCCACTATGGAGCCGGTTGTTGCGGTCCCAATGGACGAATTAAGTTCCCAAATCCGAAACAGAAGTTTACAGAGCCATGCACCTCCCCAGAAAACGTCGTAACTGGATACCGGACCGCCTGAGAAGCGGTCATATTACCAGATATCATGGCGAAGAGGGGATTGATGGGGACACTGACTCCGCCGATGTATTTGTCACCGAAGGTTCGACTGCAATGGAAGTTGAAATTGAGATAGAGGAGGTTGCTTCGGAGAGATGGGTCATGGAGTTTGAAATCCATGAGAGTGTTCCATTTGGGATTGGTGTTTCCTTGCATATCGACATGGGTTGTGAACTCCGTGTTATAGCCCGTTGGAGGGCCACCGGAGATGGAGACAGTGGCGGAGACTTTCATCCTGCCGAAGAGCCTGATGTCTTCTAGTTCTGTTGCAGAAAGGTTAGTGATCACAAAAGGTCTCAAGTGTTCCATTTTTGGGAGAGAATGATCGATTGAATGAATGAATGGAAGAGATATTGAGAGAAAGAGGCTTGGTGTTGAATTTATATAAGTTGCTTGGAAAATGAAGACTTGGTAAAAATTATAGGAAGACTTTTTTGAGGAGATGAAGAACTATTATTATTGACAAATTCAAATTATGTCGCAAACGAATATATGGGCTTAGTCATATAAATTTTAAAAAATTATTGAACATAAAAAAAATTAAAATATGATATAAGGATGCAATAGATTTTCACCCAATACGTAGAGTAATGGTATATATTGTTAGGGAAAATATATTCTCCACAAGTAAATCAATCAATGAGAATAAAAATTAATGCGGAAAAAATTAAATCAAAAGCAATACAAGAATTTTACATGATTCCCTCAATGTGAGGTACGTTCACGGGATCGAAAACCGATTCCACTATCAACCAAATAAGTTTTCAAACGATTACAAACGTGACACAAATAGTCTCACAAACCAGCTTTAGATGAATTCTAAATAATCACAAATAAACAAGAGGAAAGACCTCACCAAATAGATAAACCAAAATCTTCAGAATCAGAGTTATAGAAGACCCAAAATAACGAACCGAATCAATTTTGAATCATGTCGTTATCAGTGAATTCGTCTTTGCCAAAATAATAAACCAAAGGGATCAGAGATCAAACACCAACTTGGAATAATCACACAGCAGGATCCAAACAATATAGCCGCCGAAACATAGCACACTAACTCCAACGGGATCAGAGATCAAACACTAACTTGGAATAATCACACAGCAGGATCCAAACAATATAACCGCCGAAATATAGGACACTAACTCCAATTTAATTCCACGGAATTGGTTTTTTATTCTATATCCCACTGCCTTCTCGGAACAATATATATATGTGGTAAACTTGTGGTTTTTTTTTTTTTTTATCAAATCCTAGTTGTAACCAAATTAAATTAGGTCTTCACAAATTAGATATAATATATAAAAATATATTATAACTAATACCAAACCAAATTAAACTCTTTTAATAAACTAATTGGGTCTCACACTCCAATAAGGAGATATACCCAACATATATTACATAGAGTTGGGATAGAAGATCCGAATCCATGTATCTCTTCTTTTTTTCTTTTTTCTTTTTCTTTTTTTGGATGCTGATGAGGTATTTACCAACAGGTCTATCATTTCTATAATATTTTTTTGAGAAGTAAATATGTCAGAGAAATTTTTAAAAATTAATTACAAAAGCGTAAAAGAAGGAAATTATGATTATGATTTTTAATGTTTATAAAGTCCATTCCAAATTGTAATTAACTCACCCAATAAACCTTCATGAAGTTTATACAAAAATATTCACTTCAGTGGATGTTTAAAAAAAAAAATTTAATTAGTGATAAATTTTATAAATATTAAAAATTAAAATAATAACTTTTTTTAATATGTGATAGTTAATTTTTGAAAACTTCTATGACTTTTACTTTTCAAAACAATAGTACAGAAATGATAGTCAAACTGACAAATACCTCATCAGCACCTCAAAAGAAAAAAAATCGAGAAGAGAAATACACGGTTTCGAACCTTCTATGTAGTCTATACCATTACCATTCTATTGTGATGTGTCTATTACACTGGGCAAAAATCCACTGCATTCTTGTCTCATACTTGATTTTGAGGTTCAATAATATTTTAATATTTATATGACTAGTCCCATATATTCGTTCGCGCTATAATTTGAATTTGTCATACCGTTGTAATAATATATAGTTCTTTATCTCCTCAAACGAGTCTTCCTATAATTTTTACAAAGTCTTCATTTTTCAAGTCACTTCAGCTTATATAAATTCAACACCAAGCCTCTTTCTCTCTCATTCATTCATTGCATTCATTCTCTCCCAAAAATGGAACACTTGAGACCTTTGATCATAACTAACATTTTCGCAATAGAACTTGCAGACATCGGGAGATT